TCTTAACTATAGGATAAGTTCTCATCTAGGATTATGGAAAATGTACGTGCCTGAGGACACAGGATCAGCCTTTAAAAATCCTTCTCAAGCTTATAGTAGCATCTAAAGAGTGTTCTACATTAGTCCAAGTTTTTCTTTTCTGGAGAAACTACCTCAGCCATTCCACATCAGTCTCTTCCCAAACAAATCTATCCACATAAAATGTGTCAACTCACTGTCCTGTAATCCCTAAATGTGATCTATTCTTCACTTATAATCATGACCAATCACTGTTCCTTTTTGACATGATGGTGGGGGATTATATCTTGTGATCTACTTCTAACAAAGCCCACACCTCAGCGACCTGGGGATGAGAAAACAGAAGTGACTCCAGTTGAAAAACATGGGTAGTAGTAATTATCATTCATTGAGTGCTGATTATGAGCTCAAAGTACACCTTTCAGGATATTTAATCTTAAACAACCCATTTTCAAGTGAGTACTCTGGCACAGAGAGCTCATGGAGGTGCTCAAGGTCATACATTTAATAAACAAATTTGAATTCCATCGGAGGCTTTCTAGCTCTGGGCATTTACACTGAGCTACTTCCTAAAATGGCCACAGAAATGTTGTGCTTTCAGTAGGGCGTGGTGATACAGTTTCGGGGAATGGAGTGGCTGATTAGAATATCTCGCCCTCCAGGGAAGGGATATTCAGAGGCCTTATGAATCCTGCCAATTAGCCTGTCTCATTTATCAGAGGTTCACGGCTGAGGATCTGAAACACCTGAGAATGGCGAGAGGCTGCAAAGAGTGGATGTTGTTTTTGTGCAATGACAAGCCTAGTTCTCTTATACGGAGTCTACCTGGATTTCTCTTCTGTGAGTGAATGCTGTACCTAGGGTTAGATTACGAGCACTTACTGTGTGCATGAGTCCAGTCTGTGTGCCTGGGTCAGGGTAGGAAGATGACTTTATGAGTATTTATTTCCCAGAGCACAGTAGGGCAGTAGTCTGCAGAAGGCGCATTTTAAATACTTGTCAACAGGCTGAAAGTGTCTAAGCATTTCTGTGAGGAGGGTGAGGAATGTGGTGGGTAAGGGGCAGGATAGAAACTGGGTTTTATTGGTAGTCAGAACAAACCCTGCCCCTTCCAGCCGCCAAGGCAAACGTTCAAGCTGTGCCCTGCCAGGCGGGCGGCTGCCTTCCTCCCTCTGCCGTCAGCCAGGCTGCGGATCAGACTCCCTGGCAGCTGTGACAGCACGTGCAGGCCTTCATCTCTAGATCGAGCAGACGGCTTAGCTCCCCAGAGTCTCGATGCTGTCATCACAAAACAGGAATAATACAAATGTCTATCATTCGGAGGAATATGACCCCAAAATGAGAAAATGCCTACAAAATATCCACAGGGTGTTTCTATCATCAGGTTGTAATGAACATGACATGGGAATTGTAAAATACTGACTCAGTATATTGACTCATTTCTTTCCTTTGACTGTTGATTTAACCTCCTCCCTTTAATCTTGAGCAAGCAAGTAATTAGACATTCAGTCATCTAAAGGAATGATTCAGTGGTTCTCCTTGATGTGACAGAAATAGTGCCACCAGAGAATGGGGGACCTAGGGCCTGTGCAGGGGCAAATTCTGAGTAGGACAAGAGACAAGGGAGTTAACTACTGCCGGTCGGGGAAGGCCGAGTGTGGTCGCCTTCAGTACACCGCTTAAGCCACTTTCTGGGGCGACGTTCTGATTCAGAGGAGGAGAGAAGCGGTGAAGAGAGCAGTGGTGGTTGCCGTGGGGACTACCCATTCTTCTGCGCTTGATGAAGACTTCTGAGGAAGCACTGCCTATTAAAGTCTGAACAACTAGAACTGCTCCTTGGGAGTGATTTGTATTTAATAAGAGAAGCATGTTAATTGAGCTGAAATTTTGATTGTGCAGGGGAAATCTGCAGAGCTGAGTGAAGGGGATGGTCGTCAGCTAGATGTTTTCCTTCTTAAACTGCTACCTGGCTGTCAGCACTCAGATCTCACCCATATTCCCAGCAGACCCCAGAAGCTGTTGGCAGGCAGTGCAAATAGCCACAGCTGACAAGCATTTTACCCACCACTGGTGGCCCACTGGGGCTCAGGGTGCAAGCTGAGGACAGCAATGATGGTGGGGTGCAGTGGTTCTTCCGTCATGCCACCCCAGAATGTGCAGCCCCTGTTCAGAGTTGAAGGGAGAAGCGTGAGGCCCCACCGGCCAGCTCCAATGCTGTGGCTCCCTCCAGCTGCAGGCAGTAGAGAGGCCCCTGGGTTTGGTGCCTGAGTGGTAGTTGAACCCAACAGATGCGAGCTGTGAGCTGGGGGGGTAGGGTCAATCAGACTTGTAGGATTTTGGAGGCGGGAACCCTGAAAGAGGTTATAAGGCAGGACAGGTTCCGGCTGGGGACTCTGAATCTCGCTCAGTTCCCAGCCTCAGGAGAGACACGCTCTGACACTCTGTTCCTGAGCAAGGCTCTGTTCCTGACCTCTGAAGAATAAACAATTCGGTCCCCAGCTGATCTCCAAAGCAAGAAGAGAAACTAAAAGTCTTTGCAGAGAAGGCAGAGAGCTTTGCAGTGACTGTGGGCTGCTGCACCTGTCTGATACTGCTGGAAGGAGCGCAGAAGGCCCCGGGCCTGGTGTCTCAAAGCTGTTGGGGGAGGGGAGCAACAATTCAAAGAACTGGAATGTGACCAGGAATCCAGAGTCAGGGTCCCAAGCTGGCGCCTGCCCTGTCTCATGCCCTCTCACTGGGCCTTCCACCTACAAGTCTGAATGAGCTGTTTTAGGCCTATGGCTGGTTGGATCCTAGCACCAACCAGCTCTTAGCTCGCACTTGAAGGGCCCACTCCATGGCCCAGGCACCAAATCCACGGGCCTCTCCACTGACTGCAGCTGGGGGCAGCCACAGCGTTCGTTGGAGCTGGTCCATGGGGCCCCGGGCTCTTGTTGCAGCCCTGAGCCAAGGGCTGCACGCTCTGGAGTGGCGTGGTAGAGGAAACACTGCCGCCCACCATCACTGCTGGCCTCTGCCTGCAGCCTGAGCCCAGTGGGGCCACTGGTGGAGGGCGGTAAAGAGCCTGTCACCCGCTGCTGCTTGTACTGCCCGCAAGCAGCTTCTGGGGCCAAGCTCCGGAGCCCTGAGGTGGAGAGGGATGGGGTGGGATCTCCAGTTTCATAGGAACCTGCCTCTGTTCTCATTCTCTCTCCTCTTATTCTCATCCTCAAAACTCCAAAATACAGAAATGATCCAACAACTTTTGAAGGTACAAACCTCTCGGGCCTGCAGCTTCCTCCAGCCTGTGCAGCCCCATTCTCTCCCTGCTTTCTGGCTAAAAACTATCTACTTCTCTTCACCCACGAAGACCCCTCCAGGCTCCAGCCTCATTGCTCCAGGAAGTCACTCCTCAGTGGTCCCCTCCATGCTATGACACCCAGGGGTCCTCTCTGCTTAGCTCCCTGACTCTGCACCTCAGGGACGTTGAAGAGTGCCTCTGCTTTTGCTTTCACAGGACACATTTCTTCTTGGCATTTCTGGGAAACACTTTCTCTTGGTTCTCCTCCCTCCCTGGCCAGTTTTCCTTGTCTCTTGCTGGTTCCTCCTGGTCCCCTGCCACAAGTTCTGGGGTGCCCAGGGCAATTAAGGGTCTCCACATCACACATTCCCAAGCTCCTGATCTTGTTCCTGAAACCTGTCTCAGTAAATAACACTTCCGTCCTTTCAACTGCTCAGATCAAATCTTTATTCTTCACTCCTCGTTTCCTCTAATACCAAATCTAGTGTGCAATGACATCCCACTGGCTCTTCCTCCATGTTCCAACTGGGACCACGCCTTGCCATGACCGTAACCTGAGTGCAAGTCCTTTTGGGTCATTGACATAGCCTCCTGTGTGATTTCTCCACCTCCGTTTCCCACCGGCCTATTCATCTTACTTTGGCCAGAAATGGTCTTTAAAAGCTGCACCTCAACTCTGTTACCTCTGCTTAATCCGTCCAAGGGCTTTCCACCTCATTTAGAGTGAAAGATGAAGTCCTAAGTACGGAGACAAGGCCAGGAGCAACCTGAGACCCTTCTATTCGTGTCTCCTCTCACGCTTCTTCCCCCACCCCTCATGGCTTTCTGGCACCTGCACCTGACTGCTGTGCTCCTGCCTGGAAGTTTCTCCACCGGGATTCACAGGGTTCTCTGTTCTAATCATCAATTGCTGCAAAACAGTCACCCAAAATTACTGACTTAAAACAATGCCAATGAATATTTTGCTCAGGAATCCTTAATGTGGCAAGTTCTATAGGGATCACTCAGCTTTGCCTCCCACTCCTTGGCAGCAGCTGGGACAGCAACACAACGAATTTGCTCACCTCACGTGCCCAGGAGCTGAACATGGCTGTCCCATGGGAACTCCCCGGGGCTGTGTCCCAAACTTCCCGCACTTGGTCTCTCCATAGCTGCTTTGGTTCCTCAAGAAAGTTCATTGGGTTCCCAGGTGAACATCGCAAGGGAACCAGGCAAAGCTCATAGCCCGTCATGACCCTGCCTTAGAAGCCACAGGCCACCGAGTAGTCTAGGCCCACCCAGATCCTAGGGGAGGGAACAGAGGAGAGTCCACGTCAGGTGGTGGGTGATTCAGGGTAGCCACACTTTTTTCTCAGAGAATAAACTCCCTGGGCAATCCCCTCCATCTCTTTACTTTGATTTAATTTTATTCATAAACTTCCTTCCTGCATTTTAGTGCTCCATAAATATTTGTTAAATACATGGATAAATCATCATCATAACTAAAAAGGTGGTGAGGAAGATTCATGAAGCGCTTTCTACCTGCCAGACACTGAGCAAGGAGTTACACCTGTCACCTCGCTGCATTCTCCCAACAACTCAGGAAGGATCTGTGTATTTATTTCACCAATGAGGAAGCTGGGGTGGAGAGAAGTTTGCACAGTTGGAAAGAGGTGGGGCTGAGCTTTCGGCCACCACACAATGCACTTTACTTCTTTGGGCCATGCAGGCAGAGACAGGGTGGACAAAAGAACACGTGTTTGTCTTCACTCCGGCCTTGGAGAAGAAGCTGGGTGCTGTGGGAGATGGCAGTTGCAATGGGTTGAGCTGTGGTCGCCCAAGGCAGGACGTCAAGGGGCATCCTCCGGGAGGGCCTGGGGGCAGAGAGTGGGATAGATGGTCACTCACTTATCTCTTCTGTCCCCCATTTTCTTGCTTTCTTCACAGTATGGGTGCCTGTCAGTGCCATCCTGGTGACTACCCCAACGGAAACGCTCATGGGTCCCCTGGGAAAGAGCGTTATTCTTCCGTGTAATTACAGCACTGTGGCCTCGGACCGAAATGGATTCATCCAGTGGAACAAACTCCTCAGGAGTCATACGGTGGGGACCCTTAAAAAGTTGGGGGCATCATCGAAATGATACTCATCTGACCTTGCAAAGAGCAATCACTTTAAAGTCTTTCAGTAAATGTTAGGTAGAATGAATGTCAGCACCCAGCCAGGGCAGGACAGAGGATGCCAGGCCCAGAAAGGGGCATGTTAAGTCACCTTGATATAAACAAAGTTACTTTCCCCAAAATCTCTCTGTTGACCAATCTCGGTCACCAAAATTGTTTCCTCTGAGTCAATCATTTCTTTTGATTAGCATTGTGCTCTTACTGAGACCAAATTTTATTTTATAAGCATTTCAGTTTTCTTCTGTTTGAATTCTTTTGGGAGAGTATGAAAGAGGTTTTATTTTCTATTTCTATTTTGGAAGCAATAGCATAATCCCATGCCTCCAAAACGGAAACACCA